GTTTAAAATTCAAAACGCGATGAATATGAACTAACACCAGACCGTTGGCAATGGCTTGTTTTAAAGCACGGTAATGGAGAACGTGCTTCCGTTTAGGTAGGAGGGTAGTTAAGAGCTTTTCCTCCTTGGATCCTGGTGGCTTCGAGTGTTCGGGGCAAAACGGAAAATCGCTATGTTTTTTGTGCAATTCATTCGGGTAATCCAAGTCGACTTCCAAAATATATCCATTTGGCGCATCATCATCTACAGCGTTAAAATCAAAACTATCGTCAATATTTTCTACCCATTTGAAGCTACCATAAGGAAGCGATTGCATCATTGCCCAACCATACAGGTTATTTGCGTTAAAGTATACGATGTAAGACGTCTCTTTGTTATTATTGAAATTTTCCATATATGGATTATTAGTTTTCGCGTAACGATTAGTGCATTGACTCACCCCACCCCTTATTCCTCGCTCAATAAACATCACCATGTCGATATCTGTAAGGAGTTCGAGACTTACTTTCGTATGCTTCAACATGGCATCCCAAGTTAGTCCGGGTGTCGTATAATAATGCGCTGGATCGAGGCCATAAGCGAGTAAACGTTTCATTATTGCATCAAAGTGGCAAAACAAGTATTCCAATTTCTGGATTAAATTCAAACACCTAGATTTTTGAGAGGTTGTAAAGTCAGATTTTTTAAAAAAATTTCTAAATATATTTTTATACTTCTGACACTTGTTTTGCCATTCAAATGCTGTAATGCATTTTTCATCACCAGACATAGACATTGTGGTAATGAGGTGATTTTCAGCGATTTTAATGAAGTTGTCACTTTCTTGACAAACTTCATTGTACTCGTCAATCTTAATTTTTGATCGCGTTTTTTTCGGTGATTTAACCTTTGGCATCTTAGAAGTTAAGTCTAAAGAATTCCTGAAACAAATAAAAAAAAACTCTAACAAATTTTAAAAAAAAACTCTTGAAACAAATTTTTAAAAAATCCTAAAACAAATCAAAAAAAAATTCTGAAACAAATAAAAAAAATCCTGAAACAAAACTAAAAAAGAATTCTGAAACAAATCAAAAAAAATTTCTGAAACAAATTTTAAAAAACACCTGAAACAAATCAAAAAAAGCACAACTGAAACAAAGAAAACAAACTCTGAAAATATATCTGGAAGTACTCTGTAAACTGTTAGTTGCATCTAAAAAGATGCTACTGATGATTGTGGCTCGCGCTCTCGAACTTATACACTGGTCCCCACCATACTTGACACCCCACTACGACGCGCCCCACTACTCCACAGTCGCGCGCAACACCACTCCTACCTCATCACATCGTATAGTAAGCGCCGGCTGCCGCGATAACTTGAAAGTTCTCATAGGTCTTGCAGTCGGTATCCTAGAACACTGGCGCACATAGTGAGTTAGAAATCTACATTACCATCAGTCGGTCAATTATCAACTTTTTTATAGGAATCTATTACAAAGATCGATATAGTAGAACATCTAAAATACCCCCATACCAATGCAACTTTAAGTTAATTAATAAAAAAATTCAAATATCCCGCCAGTGGGTTTAAAATTCAGCAAAAATAAAGTGGCGCCATCTATAGGAGGCAGCCGCAAGTAAGTTCGGTCAGTAATTTTGGCGGGATATTCAAAATACCCCTACCAAGCGACTTTAAATAAAATAAAAATTCAAATATCCCGCCAAGGGTTTTAAAATTGAGAAAAATAAAGTTGCGCCATCTATCGGAGGCAGCCGTAATTAGAATGATCGGTAGAGTAGAACACCCCTTCCAACGCAGTTGAAAATTCGAAAATAAACATTCAAATCTCCCACCAACGGGTTTGAAATTGTGCAAAAATAAAGTGGCGCTATCTATCAGTGGCAGCCACAACTAAGCTCGGTCAGTAAAACAGAACACCGCTTCTAACGCAGTTGAAAGTATACTATTTATGGTAATGTAGGAATCTACATTACCGACATCGGTCGGTAATTGCGGTCGTACCCGCCTAGTAACACTACTGAAGGTTTGGAAGTTCAATACAGTTTGATGAATTCAGGTAAATTGCAACATAGCACCAATTCGTATTTGTCACAAAGCGGGATTCACTGAAACTCTCTGTGAATTCTTTTTAATTTATTTCAATTAGTTTTTGTTTATTGGGTTAAACTATATTTTAACTACACTTTAACTAATTTTAACTATACTTTAACGTTACTTTAACTATATTTTAACTACACTTTAACTTTCTTTTAACTTACCTTAACTTTATTTTAACTATATTTTAACTAATTTTAACTATACTGTAACGTTACTTTAACTAATTTTAACTAATTTTAACGATATTTTACCGTTACTTTAACTACACTTTAACTAATTTTAACTATACTTTAACGTTACTTTAACTATATTTTAACTACACTTTAACTTTCTTTTAACTTACCTTAACTTTATTTTAACCATATTTTAACTAATTTTAACTATACTGTAACGTAACTTTAACTAATTTTAACTAATTTTAACGATATTTTACCGTTACTTTAACTATACTTTAACTAATTTTAACTAATTTTAACGTTACTTTAAGTAGTTTTAACTTTATATTAATGTTACTTTAACTATACTTTAACGTTACTTTAACTAATTTTAACTATACTTTAACTTTATTTTAACTATATTTTAACTAATTTTAACTATATTTTAACTTATTTTAACGTTACTTTAACTTATTTTAAAAACTAATGGAAATTTAAATCTAAACTCTAATCAAAATCAGTACTCTTTACTTTATGAAATGTATGCTAATTTTCAATCATCCTATTATGGTAAAGATTTAAAACCTATCTTAACAAAGGATATTTTTGAAAGTTTATTTCCTCTAATTGTTATTGATTGTTCTTAACAAAACGAGTTTTTAAAACTGACATCAGTTGATGTAAGGTTAGAATTTGAAGCAGGAATCAACATGCTAGCCGAGATCACCACCTATTCGCTGCTAGGACGCTACAAAAGTTAAAATTTTTGGCTAACACATAATTACCATGGGATTGATTGGACTTAAGGAGACGTACCATACGATGAACTTCGGCCAAATCTACAATATATAATTCGAAGTGCAAGTGGAATTTAAGTTAAAGGTTTAGAAAAAATAATTGGCTTAACGACGCGTACGCATCATACTTTTTGTAGTGAAAATTATGCTGTAAGAAATGTTAAAATTCTTCACGATTGGTTTTTAGATCAACCAAACCAATATATAAGTACTATTGCTAATGGTTTTGATGAAGTTGACTCTACTTTAAAATCTTTTTATGAAAATTGTGAATCTTTTTGTAAAATATCCTTTAGAAAAAAAGACATGAGCGAGAATCTCGAATTGAACGAAATCGACTATCAAAAATCTCGAATTTTTTAGTTTTAAAACCATAAATTACGAACAACATAGATAGGAAACTTGAAAATGTAAATAGTAGATAGATAAAAAAAAGATGGGGCTGCTAAAAACACACTGTACTCGCGCGAAAATTAAAATTTTAAAATGAAAGCTTCAATATATAAATGGAAAAAACAAGCTCGAAAATTAAAAACAAATTAAGACAAGCTTAAATAAGTAGAGAAAACAAACCTTAGAATTTTTATAATAAGAAGTAAGATTTATTGTTTTTAAATTATATGAAACATTAAAATTTCTTATTATTATATATATTAAAAAAATTTATTAATATATTATAAATAATAAAAAATAAATATTTCAAGTAGTACAACTTTTTTAAATTAGTAATAATTACAATATTATAGACAGAAAATTAAAAACATTGTATAACAGAAAAATAATAAATATTATCAATTATTAAATAAAATGATTAAAATGTACATACATTATATAAAATAATAAACATTTAAAATAAAACAGTAAATAAAATATTGAATTGATATTATATTCTTTTTTTTTCCTTTAGATAAAAATCATTTTTCTTAATTAAAATTGTCTTTGAAAATTTTTTTTAGGAAAAATCAATTAGATATTTAAAAAAATTCTAATACATATACTGTAAAAATTAAATTTTTTCGACCTCATTTTTTCAGATTTCAAAATTATATAATAAAAGGGAAATATTTGGAATATAGGATTGTTTGGTTTGGAGTTAGAAAAGTTTTAAATGATTTTTTCAACACAAATTTGTTGTACTTAAATATATATGAAATTTTATTTCATTTTTATAACATTTCTTAAAGAGATTCTACTATTCTTAGTTTATAATAATAATAATAATACATGCTTTTTAAAAATTATTTATTATAAAAATAGGGCAGTCTTCTTTATTTAAAATGTCTATCTATTATGTTATGTTATAAAAAAATTAAGAAATTAAAGAAGCCTTCAGGAAATACAATAGTTTTTGGCGTCTGTCGATATTTTTTTTATAAGAAATTCAACACAAATTTGTTGTACTTAAATATATATGAAATTTTATTTCATTTTTGTAACATTTCTTAAAGAGATTCTACTATTCTTAGTTAATAATAATACATGCTTCTTAACAATTATTTATTGTAAAAATAGGGCAGTCTTCTTTATTTAAAATGTCTATCTATTATGTTATGTTATAAAAAAATAAAGAAATTAAAGAAGCCTTCAGGAAATACAATAGTTTTTGGCGTCTGTCGTTATTTTTTTTATAAGAAAATCGATAAGGACCCAAAACTAATGTATTTCCTAAAGGCTTCTAATATTTGCTTTTTAAGAACTTACAACAGTAGGTCAGTCTTCTTTATTTAAATACCTACTGTCTATATTAAGTTATTTAAGTTATGTTATAAAAAAATAAGTTATATATTTATAAAAAAAACATTTTTGAATTAAATAAAACTTTTTTTTACAAAAAAATAAAGCTAAATAGTATTTAAAACTATTTAAAAAATGAAACTTAGTAAAGAAAAGGAAGAACAAAAATGAAATTCTTTTGAAAAAAAGAATTTCAGGCGAAAAAGAAACTCTTCAGGCTCATGGCTTCCTCGGCAATGGTGGGAATTCGCTCAGTTTAGGAAACTTCTGAAAATAAAATTATTAAATAATTAAATAAATATATTAAAAAAACACAAAATAATAAACATGTCAAAAAGAACAAAATCTTTAAATGAATATAAAAATATAAACAGAAAATAGTATACAAATAAATAATCAGGTAAGTAAAAATAAATAAATTTAAATGAAAAATAAATGTAAAATATAACAGAGAAAAGAGAAATAAAATAAACTAAATAGTTAGTAAGAAAATAAATAAGTTAACAAGAATAAATAATTAAAAAATAAAGAGAGATTATGAGTATAAAAGTGAACAAAACATCAAATAGATATGGAATATAATAAAACAAAAGAACTTAATTATTAGTAAATAAAATAACAAATAAATAAAATAACAATGAAATAAATAAACAAGTTAAGAGAAATAAATATATTACAATATGTTACAATATTTCAATGATTGTGTTGTCCACTACCAATATTTCCACTGGCCCAAATCCATCCTTCTCAAAGAAATATTGCGCATTCACATTCATGACCTTTCCTCTCGTAATTCGAATGACCTGAAACAAAATTTCAAAGAACATTTTTCATTTTCAGCTTTGTATTGTCAACAATACCTTTTTATTAGAAAACATTTCTTTGCAAGAAATATACACTGTAAAAAATGTTTGGTAGATTTACAGTTTTTAATAGAAACTTCTAAAATAACGTCTTTAAAAGTAGCGAATTTACAATCCTTTGGAAAAATAACTACTTTCAGCGTATCAATTTTACAATTTTCTGTACATTTACTACTCTAAAAGTAGGTCATAATCAGTAATAATTTCTTTTTTTTACATACATTCAGAGTATGTAAATTTACAGAAAGTTATAAAATTGACACGCTGAAAGTAGTAATTTTACCAAAGAAATTGTAAATTCGCTAATTTTAAAGACGTTATTTTACAAGTTTCTATTAAAAACTGTAAATCTACAGAAAATTTTTTTACAATGTATTTATGGTATGGTTTTTACTTACGTGGTTTACAAGTTTGCCCTCAAACTCTGCAATTCGTTTCGGCCATACCAGGATTCTTCGCTTTCTGCCAGCTAAATTATCCAGGATATATTTATCCGGACGATTGTTGTTCTGAACATTTCCTCCATTCTTCTGATTCTGAACATTTCCTCCGGCATTTTGACGCAATTTCGTCTCTTCGTTGAGCACAATTAATCCTGTTAAGACTCTGTAAACAGAAAAAATAGCGTTTTTTTTAAAGAAAAAAGAAAGAAAATATTAACTTTTTAATGTAAGCATTCTCACAAAAAAGCGGACATTTTTGTCCGATCGTCACGCCATTAAAATGCCTCAGAATTAAAAAAATGTACTTTAATAATTAAATATACTTTAATAATGATTAGAAAAATTAAAAAACTTATTTTAATAATGATTAGAAAAAAGAAAAAATTTACTTTAATAATAATTGGAAGAAAGAAAAAATTAACTTTAATAATAATTAGAAAAAAGACTTATTTAACCACGTGACGAAAAAAATGTACTTTAATAATTAAATATACTTTAATAATGATTAGAAAAATTAAAAAACTTATTTTAATAATGATTAGAAAAAAGAAAAAATTTACTTTAATAATAATTGGAAGAAAGAAAAAATTAACTTTAATAATAATTAGAAAAAAGACTTATTTAACCACGTGACGCACAGACGCTCTTTCGTGGAAATACCCTTTAGGTAATATTCAATATTTTATTTATTATTAATAATAAACTAAAAAATAAACTTACATTGTTGTATCTCCACTCGTGAAGGAATAAATTTTATTATTACTGGTGATATCGTGTTTTTCAATTAAATCCTCCATTTTCCTCTATTTTTAAGCAGCGCAGCACGTCCTTCCTCTTCAATGGTTTCGCAGTAAAAGAACAATACAGGGAATAGGGATGCCGACGACCGACCCCATACACAACTGCGCTTGCGCTACTACTGCATGCATGCCAGTGCATGTTTAAGGCCTTTGTCCAATGCGATCCCAAAACTGTGCGACTACGTTGTGTCGGTTGCTATGGCAACATGTTAAAATCAACACAACGTAGTCATTCGCAAAATTTTTGTAAACCTATTGGAGAATATAAAGCTGCATCTACATAAAGCTGTATCTACATAAGGAAAAAAAGTGTTGAAAAATGGAAAGAAAAGTTTCTGATCGAAAACGAAAGTCACGAGTATGTAAGAATAGAATTGTGCATGAGCTAGAATGTCCTATGGATAACACGATTAATAAGAAAAATAAAATAGAACATGTAACTCAAATAGGAGTGATTGATAAAAATGATATTATAAATGAGTTAAACAGTAATCAATCGAAACATTTAGAAAGAAATTTGCGACAATTTAACGAGCATAATTATTGCAATAATATTGAATTAATTTCGGTAAATGAAAATCAATCAAACTCCAATCAGTCAATTTACTTGCAAAAAAGTTCACTGCTCTTTAATGAGCATAATTATTGTAATAATGTAGAATTATCTTCTACAACTGATCAATTAAACGTTAGTCAATCTACTCAGGTACAAAATTCACTACATTTGAACGAGCATAATTATTGCAATAATGCAAGCTTACTTCCTTCCACAAGCACTGCAATAAATATGCATTCTGAATCTAATAGAGATAATATTTTAAACAATATTTCAGAACATTATCTTGGTGCTATGAATGTTTTGTGCGTTCATTGCAGTGCAAAGCATTTTAAAGCAGAAAAGATTTCTAACAAAGGAAATTCTTTTAATGATTGTTGTAGTCATGGAAAAGTAGTATTAGATTGTTTGCCAGAACCACCGCCAATTTTAAAAGAACTGTTTGATGGTAAACATTCTTTGTCCAAACACTTTTATGATCATATACGTTATTATAATAATGTATTCTCATTTGCATCTTTTAATGCTAACTTAGTACAGTTTAATAGTAGACGACCGAGACCATACATGACATGCAATCCAAAATGGAGAGAAATAACTGAAAATTTGTTAGATGGACAAACTGCTTCAGATAGACCAGATTTAGTTGCTCGCGTTTTTGAACTGAAAAAAGAAGAATTAATCAAAACTATTGTAAAAAAAAACTATTTGGAGAAGTGAAAGCTTATGTTTATGTAGTTGAGTATCAAAAGCGTGGATTGCCTCATATACACTTACTTGTGACATTGAAATCAAATTACAAAATTTCAACACCTGAAATTGTAGATAAATATATCAGTGCTGAAATTCCTAACCCAAACGAAAATTTAGAATTACATGAAATTGTAAAAGCTAATATGATACATGGTCCTTGTGGAGATTGGTGTTTAGATAAAGATGGAAAATGTTCAAAGCATTTTCCTAAATCATATACTGATCATTCTACTATGGATGAAGATGGTTATCCAAAATATAGGCGCCAAAATACTGGAACCTACATTCGTCAAAATAATTCGGAATTCGATAGTCGGTATGTTGTACCTTACAATAAAGAGCTACTATTACTTTTTCGTAGTCATATTAATGTTGAATGCGTAAAGGGCGTTAAGTCAGTGAAATATATTTTTAAATATATTTATAAAGGTCATGATGCTGCATCTGTAATAATTGGAGATTCAAACAGTACTGAAAATGAAGAACATATTTTGAATCATGATGAAATTCAGAATTACATTGAAACTCGTTATGTGAGTCCTCCAGAAGCATGTGGTCGTATTCTCAGTAATGATTTACAAGGTAGAAGTCATTCAGTTTATCGATTAGCTATACATTTGCAAAATCAACAATCAGTTGTGATAGATAATATTAATGATCAAGAGGCTATTGTAAGTGCGTTAAGTCGCTTAACTGAATTAAGTGCTTATTTTACATTAAATCAAAATTACCCTTTGGCTAGATATTTTTTAGATTCTGAAATACCATCTCATTATGTATTCAAAAAAAAGTGGTACATCTACGTTCGTATGGGAAAAAAGAAAATCTCAGTTTAATGTATTAGGACGTATGTATTTCGTTAGCCCAACAGAAGTTGAACTATTTTACCTAAGGTTATTATTGTTATCTGTAAAAGGAGCTACAAGTTTTGAAAATTTAAGAACAGTAAACACTTCATGACAGTTTTGTTTCAACATGTTTATCATTAGGATTAATTGAAGATGACAGTGAATGGGAGAATGCTATGACTGAAGCTAAATTATTAATGATGCCCCAACAATTAAGACGGTTGTTCGTCAGACTTTTAATACATTGTCATCCCATTTCACCAGAAAAATTATGGGAAGAATTCAAAGATGATTTATCTCAAGATTACAGAAGATCAATGCCGGAGAATATTGCACATAGAAAAGCATACGTTCAGATAAATACTCTGCTTAATGAAGAAAATTATAACATAGCCTCTTTTCCATCAATGCCGCAAATTACAGAAACTGATGACAACATCGATAGTGAATGGGAGTCTGAACAACATCGAACTGTTGGCACACAACAGTATCTAAAACTTAATGAAAAGCAAAAGGAAGTTGTTGATAGAATTTTAAGTACAGTTGACGATCAAAGTAGTAACAATAATCGATGTTTCTTTATCGACGGACCTGGTGGATCAGGGAAAACATTTATTTATACAACCTTATATCATATTCTAAAAAGTCAAGGAAGAAAAATGTGTACTATGGCATTTACTGGAATTGCGGCAACATTACTTCCATATGGTAAAACAGTTCATAAAACATTTAAATTACCAATTGCAATATATAGTGATTCCTCACTGACTATTAAAGCACAGTCCAAAGAAGTGGAATACTTAAGAAATATTGAAGTATTTATTTGGGACGAAACATGTTTTAGAATTAGTTGATCGCAATTTGCGGGATATTACAAATGACAACAGGCCATTTGGAAATAAAATAATGATACTTGGGGGCGACTTTAAGCAATTATTGCCTGTTAAAATGAATGCAACTCGTAGTGAATTAGTTGACCTTTGCATTAAATTCAGTTCCATTTGGTCTGTATTTTATCAATTTTCTCTCACCGCTAATATGCGTACATTGCCTCACGAAGTAGAATTTGCTAAATTTTTATTGTCAGTTGGAAATGGAACTGATAATGATAATGATGACAATTTACATTTACCGGAAATTTGTATAGCACCACGAAATACAGACATTGTAGAGGATATCTATGGGGAAGTAATTAGACAGAAACAATTTGAAACGTTAACTAAAATGGCAATATTATCAGCTAGAAATGTTGATGTTGATAATATTAACAAAGCTGTCGTTGAATTGTTAAATGCTGAAACAGAAAAAATTTATACCAGTGTCAATAGCACTAAAAACTGTGATAATGGAGAAATGGACGAGGCTCTTTTACCAGAATACTTAGAGACACTAAATCCTCCATGTTTACCTCCTCACGAATTACGATTACAAGTAAATGCTGTTGTCATGTTAATTAGAAATCTTTCTATTAATAAAGGTTTATGTAATGGGACAAGATTACAAGTATTAGAACTAGGAAATCATTTACTGAAGTGCAAAATATTAACTGGTGATAAAATGGGACAAATAGTGTTTATTAATAGAATAACTTTATACAGTGACGATCGTTATCCTTTTCAGTTTGGTCGAAGACAATTCCCAATAAAATTAGCTTTCGCAATGACAATTAACAAATCACAAGGGCAAACGTTTGATAAAATTGGAATAGATTTAAGACGAGATGTTTTCAATCATGGTCAACTTTACGTTGCTATGTCGCGTGTACGATCTTGGGATTCTTTAAAAATATATTTAGAAAATCAAAGAGATAGTAATATTGTTAAAAATTTTGTTTATAAAGAAATTTACACTTAGAACTCATGAATACAGTAGTATGAGAATTCGCCGAATGTGTTTTTCACCGAATGGTAAGTTACCATGGGACAAATAAGCTCTTTTAAATTTTTTTTCAGATATTTTAAAATGTATACTAAGGCTGCGATCCCATGTGAGCAGAATACGTCGACCGAAAGCAGAAAATCATGAGAGTGAAAAGAACAACAATATCAGCTTATCTCTTTTGCACTCATGATTTTCTTATTTCGGTCGACGTATTCTGATCACATGGGATCGTAGCCTTAAGCGGTGTTAATATAGTTGCGTTCGAATGCTGTGTTTCGCGTTGAATGATGAAATAGAGAAAGAAATACATGTACTTCTATCCTTCTTACACTCACTGCTCAACGCAGAACGGGTCAGCGTTCGAACGTAAGCATATACACACAGCCTTACGTTGCGTTTTGCATTGAACAATGAATGTTACAAAATATAAATAATAGAAATTGCAAAGGAACACGCAAAAAAGGGTTAAAACGCAAACCTTAGCCTCAATTATAATAAAGAAAAAAAAATTGCAGTACAAAGAAAATGAATAAATATTGAAAAATAAAATTGAAATTGAAATGAAAAATGAAATTGGAAAACGGAGTCAACGAAGACGGCCGCTTGCGGCCGTCTGAGGCGCTAGTAGTTATTAAGTTTTCAAGAATAAATATTATTAATTTAAAACAATGCTTCTTAATTTCAAAAACAACGTATCCTTTAAAGTTTCATTTAAATATCATTTTTAAATAATTCTTGAAAATATAACTTGTTTTAAGAGGAAAAGGAAAAAAAATAAATTTTAAACCAATTTATAGGTAAAACTTTGTGTGTTTATTTTTTCAAATTTTTAAAAATATTTATACATTTTTTATTTATTATAATAAAAATTCAACTCATTTCAGAAACAAACCTGAAATGTAAACAGAATAAAAAAATTAGTAAAAAACCTGAAATGTAAACAAAAAATCTGGAAATTAAGCTTAAAATTTTGATATAAACCTAAGATTGAAACAAAAAAACCTGGAAATAAAGCTGAAAAAACTTAGAAATAAACATAAAAAAAATTTTAAAAACCTGAAAA